CCCCCCCCCCCCTTTGAAAACGACTGGGACGAGGCAGGTTTATTTCTAACACGAGGTAACAACTGATAAGTAATAAAAAGGTCAATAAAAAATCAATAATAGAGGAAGATCAGAAGTACATTTATAATTTTACATGGCCATTTATTAACATGGTTGCATCCAACAATTTTGCATGATGTTCGATAATTGCAACAAGTGAGAAATAATTGGCAATCGTACTTCACTCTCCATCTTCAGAAATTCCAACACTTCATCTTGGATGTCAGTACTACGACGTCGTTTTCCGAAATTCCACCTGTACCCTGCGTTCGTTTGTCTGTTTTGCCAGTTGTAACCAACTCTGAAGTTGTGGTTGCGGCGATAGTTAGCATCCAAATTTGATTGCCTGAGTAGCAAACAGATGTTAGTTTATGTCAAATGGCATGCTGAGGAAATTGGAAAATTAATGTGGACAATCTGAATAAAGAAAACAACCAGAGACCCAGACCGATCTTGTTTAGGAACTTGGCCACAGTTTTTGCTATGTAGTCTAGATACAGCAGTTGATGACAATGGTCTAACTGGGTCAGTTGCATGTGTTGTTAATTATATATTAGCTCTAGTTAAAGATCTTTATCACGAAACAGTGTCACGCTTAATTATAATAGGTGCGCGAGTTTAAATTGCACAATTGTGAAAAGAAGGTATAATAAAGTTTAATAGAGTAAAAGACTAATATCGCTCACATATATAGTGGCAGACGGCAAAATTTCAGATTCGCGCATATTTACGATGCGCATGCAGTAGCATCTCCGGTGATAAAACACTTTAAAATTCCCTCTTTACAGAATGAATATAATTACCTGGATCTGAAATTATGATTGATATTTGTGTTCCATTGATTACCACGATAATTGTAGCGAACTTGTCTGTAGTTAAGGTTGGAGTTGTGACGTCCATTATTACTTTGATGATTAAGGCCATTTTTATTGAGATTTGTATTTCTCCCCAATCGGTAGTTATAGTTCCTGCTGTTCCATTGCGCTGAGCTGAAAACAAAACTTATTTATTTTAGTGTGTTATTTTACTTATTTTTATCCCCAAATTGTGCGCATATATATACCAACGTTGATAGGGGCTTCGGTGGCCAAGTGGTTAGCGCAAATGCCTTTCACCTCTGAGGCTGCAGGTTCGAGTCTCACTAAGTACCTTCTCAGTGCGACTCGAACCCAGTCCCCATGTCCCGGGTTTTCCCCGGGTACTCCGGTTTCCTCCCACAGGGAAAGTTGACAGGGTGGGTTAGGTAAAAAGGGCCCACAGTAATTGGCATATGCTGTTGTGGTGACCCTGCCCTAGTTGGCAAAGCTAAAAATAAATAAATAAATAAATAAATAAATAAATAAATAAATACTAGTATGCATGGTGCTGTATTTTTTCAAACACTAAATAAATTCGCTTAACCCAAAATGACGTTTCGTACATGCAACGTGTCGTAATAGCAATTTTTTAATAGAAAAGTGCACGTAAATTGTCTTTCCAGTTTTATAAAATGGAAGTTATTGCTGGTTAGAACATATAATAATGAACTCAAACATTAGTTCCCGTATCTTTTTTAATTTTTTACTTTCACACTTTTTACTTGGTCAAATTTAGCAAAATTTCTCCCACTCTTACAGAAAGTAGGCAGTTCATGCAAAATATTAAATTTTTCACAAAAAGTCCACTGAAAATGCGAGACTGCGGTACTGGGAGAAAATTTGCTGAATATGACCAGCGTGTTTGATAAATTTAAATTTAACTGACATAATAGTGGACTTGTACATGCATAGAGGTTGTATTGGGTGTAAATTCTTAATTTGGTAACACTCGCGATACTGATATGTAATTTGTTTACCTG